AAAAAAAAAAAAAAAAAGAAAGAAAGAAAGTAAGAATCTGTTCATTTTGTAAAAGTTTTACGTCTTCAAACCTTTGCTCAGATTCAACCTGCGTCCTCCTCTAAAAATGCACAGACATGATTTCTGTCATTTGAACTTTGTGTCTACCAGGCAGCATTATCATAACCCAATGGTAGAGTGTTCTTTCTTCATATGCAAAAATTTACCTATCAAACTACATTATCAGCTCTTCCATGTCAAAGATAGTGAATAGTCAAAATATTTCTTGATTTTGTGACACTTCAGAGGATTTGGGTAAGAATGCTAAGACACAGTCAGAGGCCACTGTGTCATCTGTGACTCACCTTCACTGCCTGACTCTTGGTGTTGATAGGGGGGTTCTTCAGAGCAGCCTGCAGGGCAGCTGTCATGTTTCCTGTGATGGAGGTTAAGGGGATAGCAGCAAAGCATTGTAACTACCAGGAACCATTGGTTAAGATTTGACTTTAGGCATAGAAAGAAAAATTACTATGGTCACTATGTTCAATATTGGAAAATTCAACATGTTGGTTTCAAGGATATCAATCAAAGGTAAAATACTGAAAACAAACAAAATTAAAAGTTTTTCTTAATGAAGCAAAGGCCGCTGCATCCTTGGTTCTAATTATCAAATGAATACCTCGATAACCTCTCATTTTCCAGTGAGACACATATGGAAATATTATCCAGTGATATTTTAAAAAAACCTCTAAAATACCGGAGGTGCCAAAATTATGTATACACATGACTTGTATTCCTCTTTTGTTATCGGTATATATTGAGTATTACAATTTTAATACCGTTTTTTTCCTTTCTTAAAAATGTGTATACATGTTTTTGGCACCCTCTGTATATATGAGATTAGGCCCCAAAATGAAATCTTCAACCAAAACGTCTTTTTATGTGATTCTAACTGGAAAAATAAAGACCAAACTTTTACTAGAATTATATTCTATATTAATTGAAATGCTGGTGGAAAATGCTGGTATATTATTACTTTAGCAATCTGAATGATATACATTAGCAACCTCTCAATATTGATGAAAAGAGACATTATAGAAGATATAATTCAATGACCCTGAGGTGGCAGCTTAACTTTTCTGTTTGGGATATTTTCTCTCATATTTCATAAAGGTTATTCAGATTGTGTCAAGCCATACCTATTACATGGAGTCTCTTTTTGAAAGCACCAGTGAGTTAGCATGTATGAGACACCGAAGGCCAATCAGACTGTCAGAATGTACAGTCATTCCCCTAAAAGGAAAACCACACAGAGCTCACTAGTTCCTCCATCTGTAGTGCCTAACCAGCATTTGTCTCTTCTGGTTGTAACAAGAGTAGAAGACACAGTACTTTACAGACAGATGTATATGGATACAGCAGAACCATGTAAGCGTCCTCTCATACCACCTAAAATGTTCGTTTCACAGAACATCATTTATCCACCACAAAGAATGTTTTTAGACAGAACAATATTCACCACTTATTTTCTGAAGAAAGAGGTCTGACAAAAGAACCTATTGGTGGTAAGCTGTCATTTTCAAGGCTTAATGGACTTCTAGAGAAGCATGCCTTTTGCACACTGGCTCATTTTTAAGGCCCAAAACACTTCAGTATTTAAATAATGCAAAATTGCAACAGCTGATTGTGAAAGTTGTGGAAATTAAAGAACTATCTGTATGTTGATAAATGTTTAATGCTGTATTTTAGATACCTTTAAGACCAGATATAGTTGCTACCAAATATTTTCACTCGTCTATTTCCCCATCATAAATGCATAGGACACCCATGAGGCGTCTACAAAGCCTTCCTTATGAATACACCCAAGAATAATTAGAAATGAATGAATTCAGTAATTGAGAATCTCGAAAAACTACAGCTTTGGTTATTGCAACATTTACATTTTCTAAAAAAGATCTCATGCAAACGTTGTTATGAATATTCAAATATGCAAAACCACAACTCAGGAACTGACAACTACATTTTAACTAAAATGGAAACGATTTCAGGATTATAAAAATGATTCTGCTTTGTACAATTGGCTCGTCTTCTACTTTATTCGTTGGGGTTCATTTTACATATTTCCAGGGATTCTCCATATGCTTCCCTCTTTCCACCGTCCTTCGCTCAGCAGGTAAAGCCTCCAAGCTTCTTCCTTTCCTGGGAGTTTTGGTTGTTTTGTACTCACTTCCCTTCCCCCGGTTAGCAAATGCTGTGCAACTAGTATTTTGCAAAATTCCTTTTTCTTAAAAAAAGGCCCAGAGGGCCTCATTCTGCAAACCACCTCCTCTCCCAAAAAGGAATAAACTATCCTAATTCTACCAAAACAAAACCACCACCACCACCAAAACAAAAACTCACTAAAGAAAGACGCCCATTCCCTCCCGTCAGAAATTCCTGGAGCTAATGTGACCCCAGTGAAGAGCGTTCTGGGAGGAAAACTTCAGCACCCAGCAACTGTCCCGATCAGCCCCGAAGCCTTCCCAGCGCCTCGAGGGCGCGGCCGGCACAGCCAGGTCCCGGAGGCAGCAACTCCTGGCGCAACCTGAGGAATCGGGGCGTGGAAGGAAGGCGCACTGGGGCCGGGCAAGTTTCGGAGGGCGGACCCCGGGGATCTCGGGGCGTCCCTGTGAGATATGGGAGAACCCCTTGTCCTCTCGGGATGGGGGACCCCAAAGAGACAGGTTCAAGCCGTGGGCCGTCGGGAGCACCTCGGCGCCCGTCCCCCGGGTGCGGCCCGTCAGGCTCAGACCCTGCAGGCGCGGGTCCCAGGAGCAGGGCCTGGGTGGGGTGGGGAGGCCGGCGAACGCAAGGATATTGCCGCAGGCAGGAGTCCACCTCGCCCTCGTCGGGCCCGGCCTGCCCGTCGCCCCCGTCTTCCTCGTCCACGAACTTGTTCTCGTCGTACTCATCCACGTCCACCTTCCGGAAGCGGGCCGACGACACCGTGTTCTTCGACATCCCCGATCCGGAGCGGTGGCAAAGGCCTCCTCTTGCTGCTGCCTCTGCCTTCGCAAGCCCAGTCCTACAGGAACCCGCAGCCTGCAGCCTTCACTTCCCTCTTCCGCTCTGGGGCGTCGCCGGCAGCCCCGGCTCGGGAGGTTCTGGGCCTGCGCGCTGGCGGCGCTCCTTCCTCTTCGGATTCACCCTCGGCTGAAGCCTCCTACGCGGTCCTTGCTCTCCTCCGGGGAGCGCGCTCCAGGGAGGGAGCGCGCTGGCTGCAGTGCGCAGGCGCAGACTTTCCGCAAGAAAGGGGCGGGGCGGAGTGAAGGAGGCGGGAGCGGGGGCGGGAGGAGGCGGAGCATGAGGGAGGGCAGAAAGCGGTGCCGCGGGAAGAGGTAATAGGCGATTGGTCGTCCGAGTACCTCACGTGATCCCTAAGGGGTTTCTATAGAAACGCTTCTCTGCGGTCCAGTCTGGGAGGTCTTAGGTTGGCGGCGATGGGCACTGGGGGCGGGTGGCCTTGGCTTTTGCTGCTGCCGCCGCCGCCGCCAACGACCCGTCATCCGGGTCCTGCGTAGGGTCCGGCCGGCCCGGACTTGCCTATGAGGTGGGATGGACTGGTTGTCAGACCAAGTCCCCTGCAGCTGACAGGAGTAGGGAGGAGTGATGCACGCCCCGGCGCCCAGCATCGTTCTAGTTCTCAGAGACGTCGCTTCGGACCGTGCGCTGCTCGTGGCTGCGTGCCTGAGCCGGGAGCCCCTTTCCCGGGGTTGGAGCTACGCTGCGCGGCCGGCGGGAGGTCCCCAAGGACAGAGTCGAAAGGTCATATCTTCTCTGTCAGTGCTGTGTGACAGCACCGCGAAGGCACCTGCAGAACCTGAACTAGGTATCGAATCCATTGGGAAGGAAGGGGGGTGTCCGGGCAGGGGCTGGGGTCGGGTGGCAAAACTGGGTGAACCTGTGGAATTTTTGGTAGGGTCAGTCATTGACATCTTAAAATAAGTGCCTGTGTGGAGCAGGGATGCTAGAAAAAGACAGGAGCTACCTTCGGTGCTGAAGGGAAACAAAATGTGTGACAATTAGTAGAAGCCAGACGTTTAAGATTTATGTTTGTGATTTAAGATTTTATGGGATCCCTCTAGGCTAGCTTTTCATTATATTTGACATCCCCATTTCTGAGAGCAAAGCTCTTACTAAGGCGATAAAGGCACTAAAACTGAGGAAATGGTAGCTGCGCTGTGTGTACATTACTGAAGTACAAATATTTGCAGATTAAAATTAATTTGCACATTTGGCTGGACCTTGTTCAGATGGCTTTGTTTTCCTGACATCCTATCAGATGTAGTTTGATTCCACCTCGGGCAGAAGGGTGGCTGTTGCCCTGTTAAGTACACTAATCATTGGTTTCCGGTGCTCAATTGAAAAGAGCACTGGGCTGAATCAGTAAATCCTGGTTTGAGTCTTGACTCTTTCACTCAATCTACTTGATTGAGACGAGCCACTTAAAATTCGGAATCTCAGGTGCTTCATGGCTGAAGTGTGGCTAATAATGTGTACTTAGCGAGATTATTCTGAGGAATAAATACAAGAAAGTGTTTTGGAGCTCTAAAATTCTGCATAAATGTGAAATGTATGTTCCCCGTACCATTGGTTTTGTAACTAGCCTTATAAATTACCTAATGATATATAGTGCTTTATCGTGCCCCTGGAAGAGGTGGAAAAATGCTGGAGGGTGGAGGTTGTCTTAGATTTCTTTTGTATCTTCCTTTAGGTCTGATGTAAAGCTAAGCATGCAGAAGGTACTCAATACATTCAGGCACTCAATCACTCCTTGATGAATGAATAAAATGTGAAAGACATTATAGTTTGAGAATCACACTGAGAATAATGAACCAGTAAAAAGAGGAAGAAAGATCTCAAAATCAAATCTTCATTAGATATACGTATGCATACTTATGTATATACATATATGTATATCTATATCTGTATCTATCTATCTATCTATCTATCTATCTATCTATCTATCTATCTAATCTATCATCTATAGAGAGACCCCTTCAGGAATAGACTGCATCTTTTTTTTTTTTTTGGAAGGAAGAAGCAATATGGCATTTTCTTTTCCCAATTAAACCACCTTCTAGAAGATATATCATTTAGGTGATGAAGTGACATTTCTTTAACATTCAAATTATGAACAAACATGCTGATAAAAACTTCCCCAATGACTGTCTTAAAACAGCTAAGGAAAATTTTCTACCTGTTGATAGATAATCTTTATTTTAAAAAGTCATATACCAAAGTATCAGATCATTACTGTGGTGAATGGCATTATATAACTTAGAATAAAGATTTGTTCTAACAACATTCGTTTCTCAGTTTCAGTATTTTGCTAACTTTAGTAAGAACTAAACAATATATATATTGTTTAGATGCTAAAGATGATTGTACTTTTTGTTCTTCTAAATCATATTTTTTGAAGAGAAAATTGAATATTAGAAGCACTACTGAGAGCAAATGGAAACAAGGATTCAAGAGCTAATACATCCTTTCTCTTATGTTTCTATTCTTTTGTATAAGGTCTTATTTAGGAAATTTCTTTATTCTCTGGTTTTAGAACTGGGAAAGAAACCCAGATTGGAAATCAACTTAAGGGAACAGAGAGGGAAATTTAAAAAATCAAGTTGCTCAAGGGTATAATTGTTTTTAATTGCTCAGGATTTTGCTCTATATGTTGAATGTGTTAAGTATAATTAATCTTCAGCCACATAGTGCATGTCACATTTGAGATGTAATAATGTCAGAAATATCCTTTTCCAATGCAGTATTTTTTATTGTCTCATGATAATAACTACCTAGTACATAGTAGGTACTCAACACTTTTCTATCCAATGAAGTAATAATTTCACAAATTAATTTTGGAATCCTATTTAGAGATTGAGCATTTTTTAATGGACACAATAATTACCCCTTTAAAGCTTTAGGGAAATTTGTGTATGTGAAGAAACCTGTCCTTAATAATCATTTAATTAGAAGATACACATTCCACTTTCTGGCATACGTATTACAAATTTTGAATATTAATCATGTTACTTCATTCAATTTAGGTAATATTATTTTCCCTATTTTAATTTTCCACCGGAGGGCCTATCCCTGAAATAAAGGATCCATAAGGTTTCAAGACATTTTATTTGTTGTGCGAATAACCTGATTTGGTTCAATACTGAAGTAACACTGACTTTTCTTGAGATTAATGCTGCATGATAGTATATAGCTCCTAATTTTTTGTGATGAAGCAAAGAGCGAAGGATCTTTTTAGTTAGAAAGGATTTTGATAAAACTATCCTATAATAGGTTTTTTTCAGATATTTTAAACCAAGTACTCTACCTACAATGTGCTTTTTTCTCCAGATTTGCCATTAAATACTTAACAAACCAAGACCTTGAATCCAGAAGCATTGCAAAATTATTATTTGAAATGGAAGTGAACTCAGTGTTAATCAAATATGTCAAATATGTGTTATAAATATAAAATAAATAAATTGCAGTTCTGGTAATGATTTAATTTCACTGTTCTCTAACAACGTAATTACTACAATGTAAAAAGATTTTTTAGCATGTTACCCATATACTATATATAGGCTTAACATCCAAATGAACTGGTTCTGTGTTGAAACTACCAACCTTCAAAATTTCAAGTTTTTTTGTGGTGATTAATTTTAGCTTCACATAACTTTCTTGATTACACACTGAGGTAGAGTAGATAAAGGCAAACTATTTTACAATGAGACCTTTATTTATTTATATATTAGTACTTCAAAGATTAAAAATATTTAAATCTGTACTCTTATCTTAGGTAAAAAATTTAGTGCTAAATGAAAGAATAAACGTTGTTTGTTAAACATTTTTGTGAATGGGACAATATTTCTATTTCATTTTTTTTAACCTGCTTATGATACTATACAGGGAAGCTGTGGATTTAAAAATGTATTTATTCTTTCCCATTACTGGGGTCTGTTATTAATACTAACAGTTGTCTTAAGGTTACATTTCTTATCACAATATACAACCATAATATTTGAGATGGTGATAACTTACATCTTTTCCAATATTTATATCACTTTTATTTCTTTTTCTTAACTTATTGCATTAGCTAGACTCTCAAAAACAGTGTTGAGAAATTGGGCGATAGTAGGCTTCTCCTCTTTGTTTTTCTTTCAGTGGAAATGCTTTTGGCATTTACCAGTTTATATTTCCTATTGCCTTTGATCTTTAGACATAATGGCTGAAATTACCAAATGCTTTTTTGGGGGGAATCTAATGATAAAAATCATGTCATTTTTGATCTTATAATTTATGAATGTGATGAATTATATTTATATATTTTTATTCACTGAACCATTCCCACATTTCTAGAATAAATTCTGTTTGGTTACTGTTTTAATTGTTTGCTAGATTTGATTAGTTTACATATTTTTTTACATTTCAGAATCTATATATGTATAAGTAAGATTGGTTCATAGTTTTATTTCTTTGTGCTATCTTTATCTGATTTTGATATTAGAGTTAGTCTAGCTTTGTAAGATGAATTGAGCGGATTTCCACCTTTTTTTCTCTATGCTCTAGAATAGTTTGAATAATAGAAAATTGTCATGCTGTTTTTTTCTTTAAAAGTTTTAGGATGTGCTTACAAAATTATCTGGGCTTACTTATATTTTTAGAGGTAGATCTTTGATCATCTTTATCATCTGTGGTTAATGACTTGTTTGGTTTTCTTTCTCTTTTTGAGTCAATTTCAGAATTTATATTTTCCTAGTAAATCATGCATTTCCTCTAGATTACCAATTTATTGGCAAGAAGTTGCAAAAAAATATTTTTTACAGTTATTTTAGCTTCTTCCATAACCATAGACATCTAGCTTTTCTCATTGCTATTATTAACAATTTAAGTAAAATATTAAAATCAACATTTTTTCTTTTTTTTCTCCTCCTAACTTGTCACCAATGCTAGAAACACATCTTTACTCCTTATAGAAAATAGTCATCTCAGACTTATAGTTTTGAAAGAATTTAAACGATCCTACAATTCCTATCCTTGTCTACTATCTATCCTTATTCCGTTACTATTTTATTAATAGTAGCAACCACTTGATGAGTGCTTATTATATCGTAGACACTTGGCTAATAAGCTCTTTACTGTACTTAAATTATTTAATCCTTGGAGTAGCTCTAGGGCCTAGGAATTAGTGTTCCCATTTTATGAATGAGAAAACTAAGGCGAAGAGAGATTAGGTAACTCAGCCAATGATATTCAGCTCGCAGACTGGTATGGCAATCAGGACTGTCAGATTCTGAAGCTAGTGCCTTTAGTCACCACTCTGTACTTTCAGCAAATCCCTTCTCATATTCCCAACTATACTACTTACCTTTGTGCTAAAAATAAGTCTATAACTAAGTACCAAGGGTTAAATAAACCCACACAGTAGCTTGAAATGAACTATAAATTGTGAACTTTATCCTTGTTATTGTCATGATTTTTAAAAAAGATATTTATTTTTCAGGTTTTCCTGTGAGCTTTCTCCACTTATCTCAGTATTTTGAGATTACACATAGAGCCTGTTATCAAATTAGCCTACCATAAAAAAATGGCACCTTTTTGGCATATGGAGAGATCAGTAGGTATTGATTAGTAATTCCACTTAATTTAAAAAAAAGTGGCATAACACCCACAACATAAAATTTATCATCTTAGCCATTTTAAGTGCACAGTTTAGTATTAAGTACATTCACCTTGTTGTACAATCATTACCACCATCCGTATCCAGACCTCTTTTTATCTTGCAAAACTTAGACTCTGCACCCATTAACTCCATAGGCCCCCCCTCTCTCC